CTGCCTCCAACCTGCCCCTCCAATCTGCCTACCACATCTGCCTCCAATCTGGCCTCCAAATCTGCCTCCAAATCTGGCATCCAATCTGCCTCCAATCATCTGCCGCCAATCTGGCCTCCAATCTGCCGTCCAATCTGGCCAAAAATGCCGCTACACCATTGGGGGTGGCCTAGGGTCCCGGGGGATTAGTACGCGCTTCATACGTCAGGAGCCTCTCATCCGATCCTGAAGGCCGCACCGGGGCCCTAGGGCGACAAACCCACCTACAACAATAATACTCAAAACCATTTTTCCGTGTTCTCGTCACCCTGTCCAGAATTGATATCAACAGCCTGTGACCTGGAGTCTCCAACCTGTCGCCTTGGGAGCTACCAGTTGCTTGTCCCCTTTCAGTGAAGCTCCCCAAAGGATTCAAGAGAATGTAACACATGATCCTGAATGATTCACTTTTAAGAAAGTCATCTATTTTTAACTATCAAAACTTTTCATTAAATATTGGGATACTCTACATGGTATAAGAATATTATTCTAGTGTGTTCTTCATGATAGGCTGTTGTTATCATAGACCCCCCCCTATAGCTAGATTCCAACTGATAAAGGAGTATCTCTCTGCCATTTCTTTAATTAAATTAATCAAACTGTTCAAACACAAGAAATGCAAAGATTAAAAAACACATCAGTATTGGTCCATAAGGGGCAAATGACCAATTTCCATAAATGTTGATAAATGTCCAAAAATGTCCATACATTTTGTTGAATATTGAGCTTCCTGGATCATCACCACTGTCCTTACACCAGCCTGCATCGGCGAGGAAAAACTCACCGATGCAGAAGGTCTAATAGATAAAAAAACCCAGTGGGAAAAAAGTGGGAAAGCTTGGGAAGGCCCAGTATGAAACTATTTATCCACACCAATCATTATTCATCAAGGGATTAAGAATTGAGAAGACTATCGGCAACTCATCTGTGATTACCATTCACTGCAAAGTAACAACAACTTTACTGGGACTAGCAGTTGGAGGACCCCGACCCCCATCCCCCATCCCCACTATATACACACACACACACACACATCCACACAAAAAGTAACGTTGTACATTGTTGTATTTACAAAGGAGGAAGAAAACGCAGTGGAAGTTTAACAGACTATTACACAATGCATTTATTTGATAGGGGCCTTTTATGACCTTGTTCAGGAGTATTTCAAGTACAGAGGCCTCCGCTGGTCTCTCTCTCCCGCGGGACGTCCCACAGTTAAAGACAGTTCCCCCTGGTCCCAAATCCTTCGCCCCACAAGTCAGCACAGTGCCAGTTAGATGCTCTGACAAATCTATTTGGGCAAATTGTCAGTGAGAAACTTCCGCTCGAACTGCCCTGGACAAAACTGGCTGTTGGGGAGAGCAAATCCGAATGCAGCGAGGTTTGGGGCTGGCGATGGAGGCGGGGGTCCGGTGCAGGGGGTGAGTGTGTTGGTGTGCGGCTGGTGGCTGGGCCGGCACAATGGAAGGATTAGTCAGTCCAGGGGCTGACTGATTTGAGATGGCTCCTCTCAGCCTCTCACAGCAGGATGCCTCATTGTCCAAGCTCTGATTCCCACTTCTCACAAACTCCAAAACAAAAGTCAATCTCTTTCTCAGCAAGAAAAGGGGGGAGAAAATATCGACTTGTGTTTCAGTCGGCGAAAGTGACTCAAAAACGTATCTGCTTGAGATGGCTGATGACTAGATCGTTCCTCTAAGGCATTTTATTAACTCCCTTCATTCTTTCTCCCTCTCTTCTCTTGTCGTTGGATAGCCAAGTTTTGAATGTTTTTTTTGAGTGAGGCACCTGTTAGAGGCTTAGGAGGTCATTAATATTAAAAATATACAGGGATGCCATCACGGCCCAGTCTGAAATCGGTCTGATGTCGCCCCTGGGTTTCTCTCAGGATGGACCCTTGGCTTTTCTTCTCTTCTGTCCTGCGTGTCTCTGTTTGGCCCCTGAAAAGACTCCTTAACAAATTATGACAGCTGAGAGAGGGGCTTAGCCTGTTCACACCAAAAAGACAAACATGGAGGAGCAAAAGCCCGCCATGTCACCGACACTGTAGGATGGATGTGCATAATAAACTTCGGGCAGAAAAGTGTACAAGGTCTCATTAACTGAACAAAACTAAAGATTTTGAGAGATTTTTAATGCCTCACTAAAAGCAAAATAATTCTAGCAGTTAGCGAAGTTGTTGGCCATCAACCGAAACTCATGGGAACTAAATGGGGACTAAAATCCATAAGAAATCAATTTTGCACTATGAAGCAGCACTAACAAAGCTAGTCATGAACGATTTTTTTTATTACTAAAAGCACTCCAAAATGCAAAAAAAATGCTCAAATTTGGTAAGATTTATCTTAATGTGAGCACATTTTAACTGCCTTGAAGCAAGATTTGACAATTGTTGCAAAACAATTGGCTAAATAATTTGTTTTTAAAAAGATACATGAAACGTCTCCCTTAGCAAAAATATCTTGTTTTAAGACAGCCACAATGTGCTCAAATAAAAAATAAAAAAACCACTTGATTTAAGCATTTTTTCCATCATATTTTTTTTGTGTGTTTAGCTATCAAATATCAAATCAAATCAAATAAAAATATTTGTCAAAAAAGGTATTCCAACTACAAGTATTCAATGTGAAAGGTTGGCCATAGAATTTATATTTGTTATAATGTCGGGTTGTTTTAGCACTTTAGGCATTCTACAACATGTATGGACATTTTCTTCTGTGTGTGCTTTATATTCTCCATGTGTTTTAACTGTTGATTCTCTGACCTGTGTTGGTGATTTCAATGGTTTTGTTAAGTCTCTGAGATGACTTCTGTTGTGACCTAGGGCTATACAAGAATAAATTGTATTGTATTGTTGTTGGGATTGTGACTTCACTGTAAAAACAACAACTCAAAATTGTTCACCTTACTCAGAATTTTTGCATTTACTGACAATAAAATTGCCAGTTGGAACTTGAACTGTCTGTTGTGAACCACTTGAACTCACTTTCAGAAGTTACTGATGAACTTTTTCCACCTTTATTTGATAAACTATGTTCATTTTACTTTGAAGTTGTAGTTAAAGTAAAATCAACTTAATCAACTTCTGAAAGTGAGTTCAAGTGGCTCACAACAGACAGTTCAAGTTACAACTGGAAAAAATGTTGTCAGTGAATGCAAAGATCTTAGTAAGGTGAACAATTTTGAGTTGTCGTTTTTACAGTGCACTGAGTCAGAGTGAGGTCAAACTTATCTGCGCTCATTTCACATTTGTCATGAACTTGTATTGTTATGTTCATGGCATTTATAAAACTAAAATGGATTAGTACAAACACTGTGTAAGTTAGTCTAGTGAGCTAATGAGTGTTGATAAAGACTGTGTTTAACTGAACTTATATTGTTGTGTATTATGGTATTCATAAAACTAATCTTCACTGAGGGAACGAGTTTCTTTAAAGTGATTGTCTGGAGTTTGACAGAAAGAGAGACAGAGAGAGTGCTTGATTTGAAAAAACGACGCATGCCGCCCCCCCCCCCCCGCTTCCTTTCTGATTGGTGTACACCTACGTTTCCGTAACACCCTTTGAAATATTTCATGCACAAAAAAAACAATCGCGGCAAACCCGGAAGAAGCTAATTATCATATTATAGGACACATCTGCAGAGGATCTGATTATGGATATAGGTTCAGTATAAATGGGTAGCTCAGCGTGGATGTTCAGAATTCTTTGTTCAGTTTTCATGTAGTTCCAGAGCCTAATAGAGGCTTGATTCGAGTGTTCCGCAAAAACAAACAACTAAGCATTGCGCGCAGCTGCGAGCATTAGCGCCGATGATTGACAGCCCTTGGCATGACTCGATTGGTTAACGTGGACGGCATCGTGGATTCTGAGCTATAGCCATGGATCTATTATAATAACTGGATAGGGTATTACTAGCTTGTAGCTGAACAACTCATGTGCTTGGAGGATTCTCGCAGTACTGCAGACTGAACCAGACTAAATTCACATGGGCTACCCAGAAATGTTCCCCATAGAACTCAATGCATATTAAAACAGCTCAACCTCAGCTGACAGAGAACCTACAGCTTTCATAAAGGTCTGATTTTGTGGGGATTTTAGTGTCCCATTGTCATCCTGAACTTTTTTTCTTCTTAAATCCTTCGGTTTTGGTTAAATCCACACTTTAGTGCCACAAACTCTGCTCGTCTGGCTCTCGCTCTAACTCCCGCTCTGATGAACTGCTCTGATTGGTCAGAGCGCGGCCGAGCCCCTCTGTGCACGTGCGTGAGACCCGGTGTGAGACCCACACACGCGTGTTTGGCGCAACGCATTATGGGAGATCCACTGCGCAGAACCGGGAGGACCAGACGATGCCCAAATACAGGCGAGTTTCCCAAAGATCTTTGCGAGTTTCAGGCGACTTCCGCTAATCTTTCAGCCCCCATGCCGTCACAAAGCGCCACTGAGCACGACCATTCATTTGAATAGGGCGCCATCTTGGATCGCCGGGGCCTGGCTATAGCTAAGAGAAGGGAAGGCGGGACTTACCCGTAATATTAGAATTAATAAAATGACTTATTTTAAATCAACATTTAAGGCCAGGAGGTCAATTTACTACAATTCTTAAAATGTTTAATTAATTTAGAGTTACAGACTATACAGACTTTAAGAAACATTAGTTTCTTAAAGTCTAGAGTGTGCGCAGCTGTGGCTGAGTGGATAGCACTCTCGCTTCTAGGCAAGAAGGTCCCGGGTTCGAATCCCGGTCGGAACAGGGCGTTTCTGAGTAGAATTCATTGCATGTTCTCTGTGTCTGCATAGGTGTCCCCCTTGGGTAGGGTTTCCCCTACTTGGGTAGGGTTTACTGTCGCAGCGTCCAACGTGTAAACAGCACCTTAAGCTAAGCAGGACAGGGTCTGGTTAGTACTGTGATGGAAGAATAACTCTGTCATGTTGTATAGTTGCATTATTATTAGAGGGCGACAGTAGCTCAGTTGGTAGAGCATTGGCCTTAAGG